AGGGAGTGTAATACAAATATAACTCTCAATACATTTCGTATAATCCACTTGACATACGCAACGCTATGTGTATTTTAAGTATGAAAATATTTATCTTCAATAAAGTACGGTCATTTATTTTTACACGCATTTCAACGCCGGCGTCATCGATACTGGATCACCGATGGGCTAACGGGATTATTTATTTGCCGCCTCTCTCGGCATCCAATCCTTGTCCGTATTTCAACCTGGTAATATCTGCTGGGATCAGTTGATTGAGAGGTTGGTCCGATTTCTTATCGTGTAAGCATCCGGATCAGTGCTTCTTGATGCAGATTTTACGCTGAGCTCGAGCCCGTACCGATTCTCCCTCCGCGGATTGGATTACATCGTTTATTGGTGCTACCAAGGGATTGGAATCTCTTGGTGACAACTTTTTTGCACCCGGCTTCCATTTGATTTAGTTCTTGGATTCCAGCCATCTGTTTCGGTTTTTGGGATCAGTTACGGAATTCGAATATTTTTCAACAATCGCAATAGACAATTCTGGCATCATTGAGTTGGTCCGGGGAGCAATGGTAGATTGCCGGAGCCTGATCGAGTTCTGTCGGTCTTTCGAGCAGCACCGGCAGATGCCGATGGAGAGCCGTTCTAACCTATCTCATGGCCGGTGCGCCAAGGTAAACTTATTTTCTCCCTCTTTCTGCGAGCACTCCTCTTTCGCTCCCACGGACGTATTAATGCTACTTCTCGTTCTCGGGTCGGTCGGCGTTTTAACTTTGCCCTATTTCGAACTCATCTACAACGAAGCTTCCGAGCTGGTCCCGGTGGCGGTTGATCTTATGAGCGAGGTCGTCTGCCCTAGTTTTGTAGCCTACTTTACCGGGTTTGCTTTGATTCTGATTACGGGCGTTGTGCTTTGGGGAGTCTTCAGTCACCAGTTGAGGAAATGTGGGAATCCTAGATGTAGAGGACTTCGGAAGGCGGTGGAATTTAACATCCAACTTGAATCGGAGGAGTGTGTAAGGTTTATGCCGGCCTTTCCTAAGGGTGCTTTTGGTTCCAGACAGTTGGAACTAGGGCAGGATCATAGGGAGCTGGAAGCTGAATTGAAGAAGATGGCGCCCCTGAATGGCCGCACTGTACTTATCTTTCGTTCGCCCTGTGGATGCCCGACGGGAAGAATGGAGGTTTGGGGGCAAAAAAAAGTAAGGCGCATTAAGAAATAGTTACTCTGACATATATATTATGTTTACAGCTTAGTAGTCTTTTTTTATAGTAGTACGATATATAACTCAAATAATGAAGATAATTAAGGGCTTATAAAAAAAAGAACGATATTTCTTATAGTTCATCTTCGAAATGGTTCGAATGAGTTCTCTGAATCTGGTAGCTTAACAGCCTCGATTTTCTTCATCACTTTTCGGATTGTAAGGACTGGTTCTATTTCATGCCCCCCATTCTCCTTTCTCTCTTTCATTTGAAACTTGCAAGGTCTAAAAGAAAATGAAATTTACAGATTTCGACATTTCACTGTCATAATTTTTTGACACGAATTTTTAGGTTAATACTTCATGCATGCATATTGTTGTGCATATTATTTGGTCTGTGATATTCCTAGATACAGATTGCTTGATGCATAGATTCTAAAAGCCTTCTGTCATGCCAAAGCTATCTTTTTCCTTAACTGTTAATAAGTTTATGATTTGGAGACCTCTTCTCTAACTTTGCTAGTTAATGCATAGATTTGTGAATTTCTAAATCGTAACCAGTTTGTCTAAAAAGCAGAAAGGTAATTGCTGTTTATTTACTGATTGTGATTCAGTGAGGACTACTTGGAGAATTGTCAGAAGAAATGAAAGCATTTTTCAGAGCACCGAATCACACTTGCTTATTCATTTAGCATATCTGATTTTAAGATTATTCAAGAGTTAACCAACAACATCATTTTTTACTATAACTTGTATGAAATCAAAGTATAACTAATAGTACATCTCAGTAAATTTTAATTTACAGTTTATTCTATTGGCACAAAAATGACCAAAAGGCTAAGGTTCTTGATGTACAAAAAAAAAAAGTTTGATGGATTTCATTTTATATTTACGCTATATTGATCATTAGGAGGTACAAAAGGCAAACGATTTATGTTCAGATTGAGGATAGGCGATTTATAATCACCTATTTATGTTGTCAGTTTCATTTAATATCATTTTAATTTGATTATTTTTCCTGCTAGTTGATTAGTTTTAGGGTCGCTTATTGAAGTTAGACTATCATCTAAATTGCTATTTGATGCAAGGCAACTGAAGATTAAGCTTTTGTAATGCAATCAGCATGATGTGTAATATGCTTTAATGCAAAGAAAGGTTGATGACTCACATACCACAATTCACCAATCAATCCAACAACTCACTTTCTTTAAATGAAAATAGAAAATAGTGGTCTTTAAGCTGAATTGACTATGAAATGATTATAAATATGGAATTTTTACCAATAGGCCATAAATAAATATAATCAGCGAGCAAATGAATCGATTTTCACTAAATCAAAACTTAAATTTATCACTTTTTAATCAAAATCAAGTGCACTGAACTAGCCGCTAATAAATTATACAGAACAAATAAATAATTGAAATGAAATAGCTGAAGCAAAGAAAAATCAGATCTATTGACTACAAAGAAAGGTTGGAATCCAATCTCAATTGAACGAAGATCTCAATCTCAAATTTAAATCAGACCATACAAGTGGCCATCAACGACACAAAAAAAAGTACATACAAACCTCTAAATAAATAAATTGCGCTAAATCAATGCTTTATGCAAAGATTGTGCTAAGAATAAACAACGAAAATTTTCATCATTATCCTTCTACAAAGTTTAAATTCTCTGTCGTCGCACATTTTGCATCACTCGTCCCCATTTAAATGTTGGAGATTTAAAATAGCTCAAAGTATATAATTATTATATTGACGAACAATAATAGAAGGGTGATCTACTTTAAATCTACGGAAGATTTACGTACCAGTCAATTCTAACGCCTGAACTTTAATTTTACTTTTATATACCACCTGAAAATGTGTATTTCACTTTTTAAAAGTTAAAAAAGTGGTATTTTTGATGTAATTGAAAGACTTGGGTGGCTTAAATGTAAAAGATAAAGTTTTGGTGTTAGATAAGTAAATACATAGGAATTGGGTGGTCTGTATGTAAATGCTCTTAAATCTAATTGTGTTCATATGCTATCACAATTTCCCCACAATGGATGATGCTGATGTTACCAGTTAGGAATAATTTAAATATCATGAATTTCTTAAACCATTTCTATGCTTGGAAATGGGTTCCGTCATTGAGAAGCAGGCAATGGGATTATTTTCGCTTTGAAAGCACTATTCCTGCTCTATTTAGATTTGAATATGATTTTGTTATTTATAGTTAAGCTGATGCGAATGATTACTGAATTCTAAAAGTAGTTTTTACTTTTAGAATTATCAATTGTTGGGAACCCGTATTTCCTTTTCTGTGGCATGAGGATTTTGGGGCTTTCCTAATATGGTGGCCTTCCTATGTTTTTAATCTTGTAATCGTGTCTTAGAAAATTGAGAAGGAATGATTTCCCTAAAAAATTACATGGCATGAGAGCCTTAAATCTGCTATCTTAGAGGCGGTGCTGTGGTATGCCTCAGTTGTCATTTTGAAGGTTGTGTTGTTATCCTCGGGTAAGCGTGGAAGAGGGGAAAATGACGTCTAGTAAGCATGGAAGAAGGAAAGACGACGGCTCTGGTTGTAGCTTCAGCACGGTTTTGCCATCGAGGACTTCGATTCTTCTCAGTCGGCTTTTTTTTCGACTAAATGTATATCCAACGCGCTGGATTGTTCTTTTTTTAAGCCAAAAGTCACTTTCTCGGGCCTTTATTTCTTTCCAGTGGGATATTTCTTGGCTTTCTCTGATGTTTTCTCCTTCTTCCCCTCCACCGGTTTCTGTGCAATGGGTTTCTTTCCTTTGAGTATTTTTTAGCATTTGGTTTCAATGAAATTGTGGATCGAGAGATGAATGTTATCGGAGATTTTTTGATAAAAAATTTATCCTTCTCTGTCGGTTTCTTCTCTATTGCAATCTTAAGCATCGAGTTAACTCAGAATTGAAATTGATTTATGGTTCTGTCCCATCCTCATCTCTCCTCTAATGATGTCATACTAGTCAGGGATGATCTTCGCCCAAAGAAAGTCTATTGTTTCTATTGGTTTAAGTAATTTTGAAACTACTTTCCCCTACCCATGGTAGCGTGAACATTGCAAAAAATTATGGCAAATAAAGGAGACATGTTGTAAGCTTCATGGTGAACCTGTGAATTAAAAATCAAAATCTAACTGAGAAGGTCAAGTTTATCAAGCAATTTTCGAGGAAACAAAAGAGCTTTATGCAAACTTGGATGTAATCACTTTTACCAAGAAGCAATTAGAGCATTCACACAAGTTGTTTCAATCTCCAAAAATACACTGACTCCGTCTTGCTCTTTAGTGCGAGAGGTAACTCTTTAGCCGTTGCATTGTTATAAGTTAATCATAACTTTGTTCATTCTTGAATGATTGATTCTGACACAACTCATCATATGACTTCTTCAAAACTATTCTCATGATATAGCCCATGTACAAACAATAAAATGGTCAAAATTATCGATGATTTGTTCTCGGTAATTGTCAAGATAGAAACTGTCAAACTCACATCGTTGATAACTCTTCCTGATGTGCGTATATTCCCAATTTATCTTAAATTTTTTGTCCGTTAGTAAATTTATTTTTGATAATCTCTTCTTGTTGTAAGTTTCGGTTTGATCATTAGGATAATGATTGATATTGCTAAGGAAAATGATGGGCTCTAATTTGTTGATTAACTTGATGTCATTATACAATGTTAAAGTATTGATTTTAACTTTAAGTTTTTTTCGAAAAACAATAATTTTACGCTGACATTATAGATTAGGTCATTCTATTTTTTAGTATTTAAAATTTTTGTTTCCCTGTTTATTTCAAAAAAAAATGTCATATTTTTAGTGTGAAGTTTGTCAGTTTGTCAAACACATCATTCATATTCTTTCTCTCCAAGTTTACAAACCAATTATACCATTTATTTTGATTCATAATGATATATGGGGTCTTTGTAAACATCTTACATACTCTGAGAACAAAATGATTTGTAACCTTTATTAATGATCACACAATGCTAAGTTGAGTGTATTTAATGAAAGAAAAGTTTGAAGTAAAAATAATTTTCAATAATTTTACACCATGGTACAAACACAATTTTAAAAAATTATTGAAATATTAATGAGTGATAATGATTGAGAGTATTTAAAAAATATTTTGTTCATTTTTTTTGAAAAAAAAGAACAATACATCAAAGCTTGTGCTCGCACCTCATAACAAAATGGTGTGACCGAAAGAAAAACAAACCCTTATTGAAAGTTTTTCCAACATTATTATTTATAAATCAGATATCAAAATATCTTTGGGGTACAATCATTCTTACAGTTACATTCCTCATTAATAGAAAACCTAACAAAGTTCTAAACTTTAATACATCTTTGATGTTTTTTTATAAAATTTACCCAACAAATTGACCCTTATATTCCTTGCCTTTAAAGATATTTGGATTTATTGTATTTGTTCGCATGAATAGTACAATCAACGAAAACTTGAACTTAGAGCAAAAAAAAATATATGTTTGTTGATTATGCTCCTAACCAGAAGGGGTATAATTGTTCTGATCATATTTCTAAAAAAATATTTGTTATCATGGATGTCACTATTTTTTAATTACAATTTTTTTTTACCTTTTCTTCAAAGGGGGCCGAAATAAAGATTCGACTATTATTTTTTAAAATTTTATGTAAGTTGAGTTTGTTATCATGGATGTCACTATTTTTTAATTACAAATTTTTTTCACCTTTTCTTCAAAGGGGGCCGAAATAAAGATTCAACTATTATTTTTTAAAATTTTATGTAAGTTTAAGACTCACAAAATAATATCTCTAACCTTGATTTTTTAACAAGAAAATTCAAGCTTGATTATTTCAGGAGAAATTGATTTGAGTTTTTTAGATGTTGAAGATACTTCAGATCTTTCTATAATGTAACCTCATGATGTTCATAATTCTATAACAACTAACAAAGAGTAAACAAGAAAAGTATTATGAAATTGGTGCCATTTGATATTGTCTATTAGCGACAAAGCACAACTCAGAAGAAAGAATCAACCGATCCTTTGCATTGCCCATAATTTATAAAACCTCTAGTTAATGCCCTCACCGAGTCTTTACCCCATGATCAGTCTACTTTATCTTCGAGTTTAAAGTCTAGCGCTAATCCCAAATCTAATAATTCCAATCTTCCCATTGCTACTTATAAGGGGTGTAAGGTTTGACACCCAACATTCATTATCATATTATGTGTCATATGAAAATCTCACTCATTTTTCAAGCTTTTATCTTA